TTGAGTAATTCTTAGTTATTGGCATTGATCTAGATATTCAGTGTTGTGTATTGCATTCGTTTGGGTTCACTGAGAAGCAGATGCCGAGACAGGAACAGAAGTATGAGGGGTTTTTTGGGTGAAATGCCTGTGAGGAAAATTGGGGAGGCCAGTGGATGAGTCTGGGAGAGCCTCAGACTGACAGGCATGTCTGACCCCTGAGACAACGAGGGAGAGAGGAGGAAGAGTGGTCTTCGGCTACAGTGCAGTTCTAAGACAGTTTTGGCAAGTTCAATCGGAAGTCCTTCGGCTAAAATTCCTGAGGGCGGAGGAGTACGGTGCTTTGTGGCAAGGGGCCTGCCTGGGTGCGGAGGTGTGGGCCTAGTACAGACTAGGCGGCAGAATCAGGACACGGCTGGAGCCAGGCAGTTACACTGCTTCAGCAGCCGATCCGAGAGGTGCCTTCTCATGGCCACCACGTATGTGAATATTAGACCACCAAATGCTGTGCTGAATATGTATGTAATTATGGAATACATTAAATCTAATCCCAGATAGAGGAAAACAAATGTTATATTTCTATAGAGACAGAAAGGTGGGCTAATTCCATGACATATTTGTCTGTGTTGATGTATCTATTTTTTTAGGCCCTTAAAAAATACCACACACACACACACATACACACACACATTTATATTTAGACCCTTAAAATATATACTTTTATATGAATTAAATCAAATGTAGGAATTTACTTGATTTGCAAATTGCATAGTCACCAGAGAGTATGTCTCATATTAAAAAAAATTTTTTTTTATTGGAATTTGTGTAAGGAAAGCTGGGAGCTCAGGTCCTGTTAATGACTCCTAGGACTTTCAATCTTGCAGGAAAAAAAGAAGACAAAAAGGCTTTGGAAAGAAAACTGTACTGTTCTGAAAGTCATTTTTGAAACTAGCTTGAGTGTGATGCTTAAAGTGAATCTCTAAGAAAGACACGTTGTGGGTCAGAAGCCTTGTTGAATGTCAGGCAGTGAGCTGCAAAGTTAAAATGGTCTGTAAGACCAATATGCTCTTATAGAAAGCTGCCATCTAGCCTTTATTTCTGGACCCAAACCTCAGTGTTCTGAAAGAGCAGTTATTTTTTTTCAACATAAAAGAGTGTAGTTACGCCAGTGTTAGTTATGAGCACATCTTGCTGCCTTAACGTGACCACCTGGGTGGCTTCTGTTTGCCACACCTTCTCGCCAGGCCTGGCAGAGCACAGAAGCCGTCCCCTTCTGCAGTGAGACTCACTTTCCTCTCAGCCTCATACACAACATTCAAAATCTTGTTTCAAGTAATGGCCATTGGCTCCTAGGCATTTGCAACTAAGATATCAAGTTGGGTGTAGGTGTTAAGATTTCAAAGTGTATTCATTGACACTTTTTTGAAAATGCTTTATCTTGTTTGTTTATATTGATAGTTTAAACTATTACCTACTTATGTAAAAGAGATAGAAAGTGGGAATTAGAATGAGAAGAGTTGAAGAGGAAATAGACTCATAGAGAAGTGGATAAGTGCAGTTGACACACATCACAGTTGGTCTAAAAATAGTTTGTGTTAAATTCCATCCTCCCACGTATCTGGGCCTGACTCAGCTCAGGGCACAGAGGCTGTGTGGCATCCCAGGGTCATTCCAGGGACACTGCTGCAGGACAGCGGTTTTCACCTGGTGTGCTGCCACACAATGGTGTGCCGCAAGAATTTTTAAAACATGCAGTACATGACTATTTAGTTAGAGGCATTGACCTCTTTTCCCTTAGATTGTCAAATAAAAGAAATGACGGCAGCCAGCACAATGATAGCTGTCCACTGTGAATGAATCAAAACTATGCCTAATTTTTTTCCAGATCGGCAAAAAGTATAATTTATTTTTTGGTGTGTCACAGAATTGTAGTGATTAGTTCTTGTATTCCATGAGATGAACAAGGTTGAAAATCCTTGCTCTGCTTACAGGGGTGTCCGACCTTTTGGCGCCTCTAGGCCACACTGGAAGAAGAGGAGTATGTCTTGGGGCATACATTAATACATTGTGACACGTAATCACACACAAAAAAATCTCATAATACTTTAAGTAAACTTACGACTTGGTGCCAGGCTGCATTCACAGCCATCCGGGGCTGCATGCGGTCCGCGGGCCACAGGTTGGACCCCGCTGCATTTAGGACGTTGGTCAAAGCCTCAGCATTCCACGTAAATGAGGCATCCATCAGCCTATAGGGGTCAGAGACAGTCAATTCAGTAAGAAGCCACAAGAATGGAGATCAGAAAACCAGGATAGACTAAGGTTTGAAAGAAAGTATGGCAGTTAGAGCGGTGGGATTTTGTCTTGTATTGTTGAACAAGAATAGAGCTACTAAAAGTACTAAGCTAGAGTAGATGATTGGAAAAACAGGTGCCTTTAAAAATTTGCAACTTGGTTGAGATTACAATTCATATATCATACAATTCACCCCTTAAAAGTATATAATTCAGTGCTTTTTTTTAGCATATTTGCAGAGTAAATTTACAGGACACAGTCATTAATGACAATTTTACAACATTTTCATGACCCTCAAAAGAAACCTGTATGTATTACCAACCACTCCATTTCCTCTCAATTGCCCCAGCCTAGGCAACCAACCAGCAGTCTACTTCATTTCTCTGTGGATATGCCTGTTTTAGACATTTCATATAAATCATACAATGATACAATGTGTTTTTCTGTGTCTACTGCTGTTAGCATGTTTTCAAGGCCCATCCATGTTGTAGCATGTGTCAGTACTTCATTCTTTTTATTGTCGAATACTGCTAATATTGATACCATATTTTATTTCTCCATTCACCAGTTGATGGATATTTAGGTTATTTTCTTTTGGGTTATTATGAATAATGTTCTGAATACAAGTTTTGTGTATGCACATTTTTTTTATTTCTCATGGGAATATACCTTGGGGTGGAATTCCTTGGTCATAATGTAACTCTATGTTTAACCTTTTGAGATGCTGCCAGACTGTTTCTAAAGCAGCCTTTTAGGTCTCTGGTGCATTCAGTCCCCGTCAGCAATGTATCAGTGTTCCAATTCTCCACGTCCTGACTAACACGTGTTATCTATCTTTTCAATTCTAGTCCTTCTGTTGCTTCAGAAGTAGTATCTCATTGTGGTTTTGATCTGCATTTCTCTTATAACTCATTACTGTTGAGCACCTTTTCATGTGCTTATTAACCATTTATTTATTTATTTTTTTTAAGAGAAATGTCCATTCAAATCCTTTGTCCGCTTTTAAATTGGGTTGTTTTTTTCCCCCCAAGAAAACAATGTTAATATTGTAATATATGTACTAGTACTGTTTCCATGTATGTATACACATTTTTCTTTACAAAAAATGACATCTTATGATACCTTATACATACTGTTTTGTAGCCTGCTTCTTCACATTGTAAAGATTTTTCTACTTCATAGGGGTGGGTGGGGCAAAGGAAAGTGGTGGCGGGAAAATGGAGACAAATGTATTTGAACAATTAAAAAAATAATAAGACTGCAAAAAAAAGACTTTTCTACTTCAATAAATATTTTTTACAAAGTTATTTTTAATGGCTGCAGAGTAGTCCATGTCCGTATCATTATTTCTGTAATTCCTAATAGTTTGATACTTGCATTATTCCAATAAATGAACAATACACATTTCTGATTTTTTTCTAGAATTGTCATTCTTAGTCAAAAAGTGATCACAAATTAAAGTTTTTGATACATATATACATACAGTCTCAATTAACCAGGTCATAGAGAAAGAAAAAGTCCAATAGCCCAAACCCACACTCAAACAACACCACAGTCAATTCTCAAATACCTTGATCAGATTAACTGGGCTAAGACACTGTAGTGACCTGCAACTACCCCTTGCTCTGAAATTAGGACATGGGTTACGTGCGTTGACTGCCGCCCCTTGCATTCAGGAGCTGGAGGGGTTGTCTTTTAATTACTTACTGCATTGTAACAGTTCTTTATATAGGCTAGTACAAGTCTTACAGATATATGATTTACACATATTTTCATGCATTCTTTGAAATGCCTTTTCACTTTGATGGCCACATTCTTTGCGGTACAAAGATTTTAAGTTTTAATGTTATCCTTTAATGTATCTTTTTTCTTTTGTTACTGGTATTGTTACATCTAAGACATTATTGCCATATGTAAGGTCCTGAAGATTGACATCTGTGTTTTCTTTTAAGAGTTTTATAATTTTAGCTCTTACATTTAGATCTTTGACCCATTTTAATTACTTTCTGTATTCTTTTTATGTGGATATCTCGTTGTGCCATTATGGTTTGTTGAAATGACTCTTCTTTCCTTCGCTGAGTTATCTTGGCACCCTTGTTGAAGTGGGTGGCTCTTCTTAGGCAAGTTTTTATTTGATGGCTTTTTTCCAATTAAGATTGGAGTTATTTTTGGTTACTAAATGGTTTATTTATAGGTAGCTCCATTTTACAAATGTGTCTTTGACTATGTATGCATGGAAGGATAGCCTTTAATAGAATAAAACACATTAGAATGTATTAGGATGGGGAAGCCAAACCATGTCCCATGGAGGTGGAACCAGGGCACTGGATTAGGTATCCTAAACCAGTGCTGCTTACACTTTAATGTGCATTCAGATGCCCTGGAAACCTTGTTAAAATGCAGATTCTCATTTTCTCGTTCTGGAATAGAGTGTGAGGTTCTGCAGTGCCAACACGCTGCAGGCCGTGAAGACCATGCTGGGCCTGGAACTTACACTTCGACTAATAGCTCAAGAGGGACTTCTAGTGTGATCTTGCTCAGCGTGGTTATAGCTTCTTATTTATAGTGATTCAGAAGGTAAATAAAAATTACCTATTTCGAATTCAATGTTTTTGTTTTTTATTCACTAATCTTCAAGATGAAAAACCACCATCTTGGTAGAGAAATAGAGTAAAAGTTCCAGTGGCACTTTTGTTTATCTTGATTGTTTTCTATCTTCCTTTCAGGCCTCTGATGATTGTCACTCAGAAGATCACAAGCTTGGCATTCCAAGTTCATGATGGTGAGAAAAATAGCCCTCCTTTTTGCTCTGAAGTCCACCTGACATTTTTTATAGTCATTACGCAGTCCCAGGTTTAGACAAGTGCCACCAGATCTTGCTATATCTTGTCAAAAATTTGTAGGCCTGTTAACCATAGCTTTTAACTTTCCCAGCTATTATTTACCATTTCTCTGAATTTGTAGCCTATATTTGCTGAAATATTTGCATTAAGAGCAGTGGGTTTTCTGTTTACTTTTACAATGTTTTAAATATGAGTTAACTTACGGAACTCTCTGCCCTTCATTTCCAATCTGTTAAGAAAAAATGACATCGTGTTTTTATGGTTTAATCTTTGAGAAGGCCATGAGGTAATATAAGATTAAACAACATTGGCTGGTTAACCAGTTTTTAATGTTCAATTTCTTTTTCCTTTTTTTTTGCTTGGAAATTTATCTAATGAGATGAGCCTGACTTTCTAAAGAGCTGGTAGAAGAAAGAGTCTTCTGTTTGTATAAAAACTGAACATTTTCTTTACTCAGACTTTTTCTGACAATGGCCAGAAAATGCAATTTCCACTGTTAAAAATGGGTTCCAAGGAAGGAGAACAGCACTTTGATCTGAAGGAAGATGGATGTATGCGATGCCCGGTGCAGCAGTAACCATGTGTTCTGAGGATTTGCCCTTCTCCAGGAAACGCTTTCTAACTGCTCGAACTTCTCTATGTGTTGAGACGATGTACAATCTCCACTGGCCTTCTTGTTTTTCCTTAAAGCTTGGAAAATAATTTAATTTCACATTGACCCAGTGTGTTTCTAGTTCATACTGGGTGACTTAGTCATTCTGTAGGGAACTGGGTAATTTTATACCAAGGATGGAGTCTTTCTAGGGTGACCAACTGTCCTGGTTTGCCCAGAACTGAGAGTTTTCCTGGGATATGAGGCTTTCAATGCCCAAAGCAACAAAATCCTGGGCAAACCAGGATGAGAGCTGGTCAATGTTTTTGTACCTGAAAATCTATTTGGAAGTGATTATAGACTGACATCAACAACATAAATCAATAGTTAAAATCAATTTTATTTCTGGGATTTCCAGAGATATACTATTTGATGAGGTCTTAGATAAATGAGTGTGATTTTTTTAAACACTGCCTCTTGTGGTTGGTTTGCTTTTTTACATAGGCTTTTTTTGCCTAGGTGTACTTTTGTAAGCATTCTCAGTTCAGAAAATAGGGTACCCTTTTCCGAAACATCCCTTACATACTGCAAAATGTTTGCCTCTGTCTTTTTTTTGTTGTATGTGGGAGGAAGTAAATTGTGGAACCAATATATTCTGGCTTCTCTTCGGCATGTTTTTGAGCTGCCTTTGTGATTGGCAACCATATCAGTCTTAACTGAGTATACAGTTTTAAAGTTGACTTTTAATGCTTGAGATTACACTTCAGTTGCTTTGACACTAACTTCACATATACATTTTATGAGAAGCACAAATGTGATTTGTTCAGGAGTTTTTCTGGCATGGATGAGTTTTGAAAGAAGTAAAATCTTCTGATAATTCTTTTGTGTTTCTCCTGCATTCAGGGTTATGTTTCCTGTGTTTTCGAAAAGGAAAGTCCCTCTTTCTTTCCCCCATCACATTCCACACCCATGCTCTCAGCTGGTACCAGGTGTCTGCATTCAGCATATCAGAGAGGCATTTACGTTGCTGTAGGCTGCAAAGGCAGGCTTATTTCTCTCATGTAGCAACAAAGACACACATAGCACGGTGAGCAGTGCAGGAGATGTGGTAGCTTCTCTGGGATCCATGTTATGCTGTGCGAATTAACTTGGAGTAACCCCTGAATTCTCCCCTCTTACCAAGAACTTACGGAGACTTTTTCTTACACGTGGATTTATGGGCAGCACTTTGATCCAGGGAATTTTTTTTAAAAAGTAGAAAACTTTGATTTACAAAACAAAAATGAATCACTTTGTTCAAATGAGTTTTACAAGCCTTTTTTAAGATTAATTATCTACTTCACTTAAAACATTTCTAAATTTTTTCTTTCTCAAAGGTCTCGGTCGAAGAGCTGAAGACCTATCCGCCGAGCAACATCGACTTGCTATAAAGTAAGTTTAACAATATATTCTCTAGTACTTTGTATATCAATCAATATCTAGAGAGTTTCATTTTTAAAAAATTGCATATGATCTGCATTATGTGGACATAATATTGTTTATTTAATGAATCTGCTATTGGTGGACACTTGGGTGCCTACCAGTCTTTAGCTTTTGCAGGTGGTAAATGATGAGGAACATTGTCCCATAGGTCATTTCAGATGGGTTTGGGCAGAGCGGTAGCAGAGATTCCCAGGAGTGGGATTACTAGGCCAGAAAGTAAGCGAATCTGTAATTTTGCTAGTTCTGCAGGATTCTCCTTCCCTGAGGTTATAACATCTGTTCCAGAATTACTGGGCATGTATCTTAGGGTCCTCAAGAAACAGTTATCAGTGCACATCAGTATGATTGAATACTGGCATGAAACAAAATAGGGAATAGAGCTGGAGCAATAAATACAGGCTGGGGATAGGAGGAAGGTTGAAGGTGGACTTTGGTCGGTGTTGACGTGTAGTAGAAAGGGAGTGGGTGCTGGAGAGGAAGGGAGGCTATGCAAAGTAGGAAGATATCATATGAAAATAGAAGTGACACATGGGTAGCATATTGGGGATGGTGGTGCAGCCAAGTTGAGAGTTCCTGGTAGCGAGTAGGAGAGGATAACTGGGAGAAGAGAGAGGGGCTCAGGCGGTAACGGGGCTGAGTGCTTCATTTCTTCATTAAGGGTTTGGGGTTTGGGCCCAATGGAGAATCATCGGAAGAGTCTAATGAGTCAAGTTCTTGGCTCAGCATGTGGGAGTGTAGGTGCCGTAGGCATAACTCCAGTGACTGGTCACCAATGGCATTTTAGGAAGTCTTTTCCCCCAATTCTATCCTGCTACAAGAGCATGCCCCTTCTAATGCTGTTAAAACAGTAAACAAGATGGCTCCTACAGAATTCTTTCCCTGCCACTACCCTGTCTATTGACCTCATGCCTGATGCCAAAGCAGGCAAGAAACTGTTACAGGGGTAGTTTTGTATGGCTTCTTCAAGTGAAAACTGGTTCCACCCGTCGTTTATTTTGTCTTTATTTTGGCATTTGGGAGGGAGTTTTCCCAATTCAAAGCATCTCAATCAACTAACAGTAGGTCTGATTCCTGCCCCCACTGCCTTAAGTTTATTGCCGTCATTTTCTCCTCTGAAGGGCTAAGGTAAGTGACAAAGCATTTCCCAGCCGGAGAGTTGCGTTTGCTGTAGACCCCACCCTCCGTGTTCATAGTAGTGGTCGGTCAGTAGAGGGCGCCACAGAGCACTGCATCTTCTCTGAGCCATTCATCTCACTAACTTCCTTTCCACAAAATTTCTCATAGGTGGATTTTTAGAGACACAGAAAGAAGGAAAGATCCTGTTATTTTTATTAAACTATAAAGATAATGCCTGTGTTTATGATTTGCTTATTTGCAGATATGAAAGAAAAATTAAAGACTGAGGTCTTTTCAACTTTTTACTTTATTTCCACAGAGTAAAACCCTCTTTTTTGGAATACTTAAGCTACCTTCTCAACTTCATGAGTGTCATAGCTGGACCTTGTAATAATTTCAAGGACTATATAGCCTTCATTGAGGGGAGACATATACACATGAAGTTGCTGGAAGTGAACTGGAAGGAAAAAAGTTGCCACGGCCTGCCAGAACCTTCTCCCACTGTAAGTTTTTAGTGCCAAGTATTTACCCAGAGGTCCAGAATATGGAATTTTATTGCCAGAGTGGACTGTCCCTAATAATTGTTCTAACTGGAAAGCCAAACAGTTTTATCAGAAAGTTTGGTCAATGATGTTTCCTTCCATTTGTTCAAAATACCAATATTGGTTATTTATTTTCAGTTCTCTGTGTTGGAGAGGCAGATGTTTATTTCACAGAGGAGCTCATTGGCTGAGAATATTAAAGCAATCAATCCATTAGTTAGGCAGTCAATTTACTGCCCACAGTGGGCTCAGCATTGTACTAGTTAACACATTCGAATTGATGGGTGTTGGGTCTCTATGAATAGAAATCAATATATAGCCAAAAGATAATATGTCAATAAAAGGTGGAGGGAGAGGAAGTGAGGACCAGAATAAATGTGGTTTATATTGCAGAACCCACTTGTTGCAAGGGAAACCAGTTTTACACTGCCTAAAGCTTGGTTTTATTGACTTTGAGATAGTTTAAGATGGCTTTTTGAAATAATATTTTAATTTTAATCTGAATTTTATTAATGTCAAATTAGTATACAGTAGGATGACTTAAAACACTTTGTAAATACGGTAAATTTATTCAGATAATATATTTTATATTAAAGGAAAATCTGTCATTAATTGAAGGAATGGGGAAAATTGGATAAGAGAGAAATTGAGGATAATATAAATATTTCATGAATGCTAAAGTCTAGGCAAAACTAAGTATTTGAAATTTTAAGTGATTTATGAATTAAGCATGAATTTTCAGACAGGTTTGGCATAACTGGCCCCTCAGCACTTTTTGATCAGCCAAATACTCGTAACTGAAATTGCCTAGGGGTGAAGTCACCATGGCTATGAAGCATCAAAGTAACTGTAGGTGTGTCTATGCAGTGTCTGTCACAGTAGAGCTTTTGTGTTCCACATGCTTTTATTTAGAAAATAATATTATCATTGAGCCTCAATGAACATCACTCTCCAAGGAGTCTCTTGCATTTTGGTGCACAGAGGAAGAGAGGTGGGGAGGTTGCATCTGGGCTAAAGACACATCGATGGGAGGGGGCTGGTCCCCGCCCCTGCCGGTCATTGGCTACGCATGGTGAGCACGTACGTGGGAGCCAGATGCTGTTCTCGGGACCTTATATTCATCGCTTAAATCCCAACCTAACCTCTGGGGAAGATAGTACTGCTATCCCTATGTTACAGATAAAAGTAGTCTGTTTTTTATAAAATTGGGAGCTACAGTTGTGTTGATGTTAAATGGCATTCCCAGGAATGCCAGGGCAACTGGGAAAAATCAGTCTATCCAGAGGAATTTTAAATGTTAGTACATTCTAACCCCAGAGCAAACTGCATTTATCCATCCTAGAAATTCCTAAAGCTTTCCATTGCCTGCTACATCCTAGCACAGGCCTTTAATCTACATGCACAGACTCCTTCCTAGTGAAGCTCTAGCCTCCTCGTGGGCAGTGCAGACCCATTTCCATGGCTCTGATGGCTACGGAAGTGGAAGGCAAATGGTTCTTTCCTTCTGATGGGAGTTTGCCACCCTGTAGTATGTTTCGCTTATGTGTTGGGTAATGAAACCATCTACCCTCTGTTGGTAGAATTTGCCCGTTAAAATTTTCTTCCATTTTAGATACATTCAGTCCTCCAGTGTCAGAAGTATATTCTGCATCTATGTAGAGCATCTGTGCCCGCCCTGCCATTCATGCCATGAGGAAGAATGCCTGTCGCCACTCCTTCTAGGGACCCTGGCCAGAGCAACTATGAGATCAGCTTAGCTCTTCCTGTGCCCTTGCCAGAATCGTCCTCTTCGTGCAGAAGTCTTCTCAGTAGCTCCACTCAGTTTTATCCCCTCTAATTTCAGGGAGCTGTGATACGCAAGTTGTGCATGACCCTGGTGTCTCTCCTTTTGTTTTTGATGCTCACGAAGACCTTCCCTGTCACCTCCCTGGTCGATGACTGGTTTGTTCATAAAGCGAACTTTCTGACTCGACTGTGCTACTTATACATTGTCATGCAAGCCTCAAAGCCCAAGTATTACTTTGCCTGGACGTTAGGTGAGTGTGTTGGAGTAGCCCCCAGTGAATGAGGGGAAGATGATACTCCCTGGGCAGCTCAGCCAGAACGTCGCTTTGGATCACCAGACCACAAAGAGGCCAATACATAATGGAAAGCAGTTAAGCCAGGGTGATTTTTTACTTTTCAGTGAAACACTCCCCTTTCCTGCCATCTATACACGCAATTATACATGATAAGGAAAAAAGCAGTCCTGGCTGTTGTTTAAGTGGTGTTAACAGATGTCCAGCCTTGGAAGCTTCTTCCACCTTTCAAATAGTCATTTAGTGTGGTAGAAAGTTATAGAAAAAATCCAGAATGATCTGGCTCTCTTGTAATTTTTCTTGGTTGTGCATAATACAGGATGCACGTTAATTTTACCAACGCATGTGCTAATGTAGGTTACACTTTAAAGACATTGTTGGTTAAGCCTTATGCCTTAGAAAGAAGCTGACTTCAAGGGATTTTATTTTTAAGGTAGAAAGTTCAACTTAATTTGGTTTTTACATAGTTTTTTCCCTTGTAATGTAACTTAGTCAATATTAAGTTTTATCTCTTTTCAAACAATTTAGACTCAGTAAGTTTAAAGCTTTGCTGAAGTGAGCAATAGACCCTTCTATTTACTTGCCAAGAATGGTACAGGATTTTGATAAAACATGGCAGCTTTATGTCTTTTACATTTGGAACCCTTTCAGGAATGGGAGTTTAACGTGTTAGTGGAAAGTGACCTGGGAGTGATGTCCGAGAGCAGTGACTGTGGACCAAGTTGTACAGATTATTAAACTTGGATCCCAGTGCTTAGCCCATATTTCATGAGTGAGGGCATAGCCCTTACTGAGTTTCTCTTTTCTCTTTTTATGCTCCAAGGTTTTAGCCCCAAGTGTGTACCTACTACATTATTTCTTATTTATAATTTTTGTGGTAAAAAATACTTAACATAAAATTTACCATTGTAACCATCTGTAGTATACAATTCAGGGGCATTAAGTTCATTGACATGGCTGGCAACCATCAGCGCCCTCCACCCCCAGAACTTTTTGGATCACCCCAAACCATAACACTGTATCCATTAAGCAAAGCATTAAGGCCATTCCAACCTCTCCCCCAGCTCTGGGTACAAACTGTTTTTAAGGGTCAAATTGTTCAGGGATAAGTTTGGTCCAAAGTAGTATTTATGTAACATTTGGCCAGAGAGATCTGACTTAGAGCTTTTTAAAAATTCTCAGTGTAGGAAATTTTGTTTCTTGTCACATGCAGTTTAATTCAAGGAGATTTTGTGTAGTGCTAAGTTCTGTGCTATGAAGAATTCAAAAGTAGGACATCTCCTCTGCTTTCGAGATTGTCACCCTCTATGGGAACACAGACACGCACACCAGTAGGCACTGCACACGAAGGGCCGTCCCCAGGAGAGGCCGAGGAGATGACAAACGTGGACTGGTCATTGGGGAAAGCCTTCAAAAGTCTCCTTGTATCTTACTCCTTTTTCTTCAGTTGCTTTGTAATTTAAAGCTAATTTCCCTAGTATGTAGCCATTATGCCTACTATGGATGGATCTACTTGGAACACGAGGCTATTTTTCTATGTGAAATAGTATTTTCACTTTGCTCTAATATGAGAGTGAGTGAGAGAGAGAAGCTGAGAGAGAATCTCTCACTCCCTTTACTACCTTCTACTTCCTCACTTACTCTCCTTTTCTCTTTCCCTCTCCCTACTCTTCTACTCCCATATTCTGTATCCCAGAGTTTATGGGCTGGCTTCTGGGCTAAATCAGCTCCTGACTGAAGGAGGAAAGTAAGGCCATTCCATGGCCTTATAGAGAAAGCCTGGTGGGCTGTGCTGGTGGGGTCTGGGTGGGGAGGGCTCACAGGGAACCAGTGTCTGGCATGGGTCTGCTCTTTGGGGAGTTCCCCAGCTATTTGGGGTATAGAGGTAACCATTTTCATGGATAGCTTTCTCTGTGGACTTGGCTCCTTTCTTTTTTTCCTCTTTTTTTTCCTCTTTTTCCTCTTTTTTTCCTCTTTTTCATTTTTTTGGTAGCTTCCATAGAAACACTCCATTAATTTGTGTGGCCTCAATTTGAAGTTTGTTACAGTTTAGATTTCACAGGCTGGCTGGTCTGCAATTAACCTGTGTAGTATTTATGAATAACAAAGCAGTGAATAGTATAACGGGGAATATTTAAACTGCCTAACTGAATAATTGTTTTTATTCAGCTGCTTAAAACACCATTTACATATAATTGATGTACTAATTATACATGATTATAAATTTAATCCCTAAAGCTGGCCTCTTGATGAATCTCAGCTGAGCTGCACTGTGTTAGCCTAGTTCTAGTTACTGTTTATGTTGAAATAGTACAACTATTTTCTTTGGACTTAGTGTGCAATTCTGGTGGGTTTTTCCCTACTAATTAGTAATAATTAGTGAGACTCAACTTTGGGCCAGGCTGTGTTCTAAAATCACAAACTCTAAAATATGTTTGTGTAAATTAATTTATCTATAATAATATGTTAGAACCATGCATAATATAAGGCAATTTTGGACTGTTTTTTATAAAATTGATTTTAGGGAGAGAGGAAGCAGAGGAGAGAGACACAGACAGACATTGATTGGTTGCCTCCTGTAGGTGCCCTGGGGAATCTAACCTGCAAACGTTTTGGGTACAGGATGACATTCTAATCAACTGAGCCACTCGACCAGGGATGTACTGTTTTAGTATTTTCAAAATCCCTTTAAAGTAGGTACATTAGAGCCATTTTATACTCAAGAGAATAGGTCTCTAGAAGTTAGACAACTCTCCGAAGGCCATGCACTTACTCTGTTGCTGAAGTGGAGATAGGGACCCAGGAGATCTGCCTTTTGAACCTACCCTGAGCATTAAATGAGAAACGTCTGTAGAGTAATTTATGGAATCCTAAAAGATAGCGTGTGTGTGTGTGTGTGTGTGTGTGTGCGCGGGCGCCAGTTCTGAGGCTGGAGATGGAAGGAGGAATCCGGAGGTTGCTATGCAGGGCCCAGCATGGTCAGTGCAGCCCTGCTTTTAGTTGTCAACACAGACCTCTAGGGCTCTTCTTCTCTCAAGTGGAGTTTATGTTCTGTCATTCACAAATTTGTGCCCATACATTTGATACTAGTTTCTTAACTGGCACACTCTTGCTTTGTTTTTCCTTTTCACTGTGGGAGAATGACATAGCAGGATTCAGGACTTTTCATCCTCTCTTCTAAAAGAAACCAGATCATTTTAAAGTGAAGGCAAGAGTAAGATAAGCAACATTAAATCATCAGCTATGCCAAAAGTGAGGGAGACAGACATAGAACAGGTTGTTTAAAGTTTCTTTAGAGTAGCTCCTCAGAAGCCGTCTTTAGTTGGGCTTGAATTCTAGAAGCAAAAGTAATAAAGCTACAGGAAAAGAAGATTTCTCTAAGATCTCCTCCAGATCTAAGACTTCACTGGGCTGTGACTGAATTAATTTTATTGCAGTGTTTTCTTTTTTAAAAAAAAAATCAATGAACTTAAGATAAATAAAAAGAGAGAATTATCCTCTTGGTCATCACAGTAAAAGTATATTGATTTCATCAAGTCTCTGTTTGTCTAGAAAAACATTTCATTAAGGAGTTGATTAGAAATGTATACTTAATGTAGGGGGGACATTTTCTTAGAGTTCAGTGACATCAAGTATGGTACCAGGAGCTTTTAGAATGACTTTATGGGTAGGAGAGCTTTGGTACTGTGTCCACATGTGGCCACTATGGCAGCTGGCACCAAATTCACATTTCTCTCTCTCCACTCTCCTTTTTCTTATATCCCAAACTTTTCTAGTGGCTTCTTGGCAGCTCCAACTGATATACTACTGTCCTGTCATGCTTACTATATTCAGAATATAATAATGGTCCAATTTCTCTTTCAGAGCTCAATGTCCTGATTTAATGCTGTCTTAACCAGTTAATGTCCTGCCATCTTTAATGACAGCTCTTGGACCTCTGTGGGGTCTCTTGTTTCTTCAGGTCTCTGCTTCTGAACTTAGGTATACTTTTACCTTTCTCTCTTTGTTCTCTTATGTCAACTGGTCACTAAATCCTCCTGCTTATTGCTTTGTTTTGGTTGTTCCTTTGTCTCTTATTCTCATGTTGCATTCTATGAGCATCTAGTGCCTTTTTTCTTACTTAGCAGGTGCTCACTAAATGCTAGTGAATGAATAAAAGTTAGTGAATAAAAATTGAGGTCAACAAAAAGCCAAAAATATTTCTCAGATTCACAGTGGTACCAGATCCTTTAAATTTTGGGGGTTTTCTTTCCGAGAAAACTACTGCGTGTTTCTCAGTCTTAAAGCTAGACAGACATTGGTATCTTTTAAAGTGGCAATGTGACTTTTGTTCAACATCCTAATGTGTTGTTTTAAAAACCATAGCTGATGCAGTGAATAATGCAGCTGGCTTTGGGTTCAGCGGAGTGGATGAGAATGGAAATTTCTCTTGGGATCTGCTTTCTAACCTAAACATCTGGAAAATTGAGGTGAGTCTGTTATGCTCCTGAATCAAGGTGCCATGGCGAATAAAGCAGTGGTTTGCTGTCCAAGGAAAAGCTGCTTTCAGGAGGTGCAGATCCAGCAGCCTCCTGGACATTTTGTATCCTGGGATTTTTTCCTCATTTTTTTCTTTTTAAAAAATACTTTTTGATCATTTTAATGTTTCAAGGAATAAAAACACACACACAAAAAATATGAAAAGGGGCCAGGAAAAAATCTTTTTGTTATTTACATTCCTATTTCTTCTACTAGAATGTACAGAAACTATTTTCTCTTGCTCATCTTCTGCTGTCTTCAGTCACGAACACAGACTGGAAGCATCTGTATTTAGATTTCAATATTGCAAGAGCTCTCTGTGTTTCCTTTGGAAACATTGATAATCCATTTGTGTTTACAAAGAATTGTCATGGCACACAGCTTTTAGCCCACTAAAAATTGTGTGTTTTTTCATCTCCTTAGCTGGCTTTGTTCTAGGATCACAGTTCTCGGTATGTCTTCATCGCTACAGATGGTCTCCTTGGGGCCATGGTGCCATGTCACTCTTGGCATTGCCAGCAATCAGAGCCGGTACAAATACTAAGTCTCAAGCTCTTTGGCCCTTGCAGCGGGATAGGAGTAAATGGTCCTCAGCATACACAGTGCTGGCTGCCCAGCCAGGTGACTCCTGCTTGGGGTTGGTTGGAGTTTTCCATCCACCGCAGGCAGGCCGAGTGTCATTGGAGGATCTGGGCAGAAGGGGAGGTGCATGGAGAGCAAGAAGCCAGGGATGTGGGGACCGACCAACCCCCAGCTCCCCACATTAGGTGGACACTACGGGGGGTATGCCTTCCACCTTCTTGATGCCCGAGGCTTCTCTTCCTCTTAAATGAACAAGTTCCAGCCTCATGAACAACCTTTCTCAATTTTGGAAAAACATGTACATAATCTACAGGCTTCTCTTTTCTATACAGATGATATCAGAGAGTACAAATGTGTTACGGCTTTTCTCTCTTTTTCTACTAAAAACTTTCTCTCCCTCAAAACTCCTGGACCACTGCTGGCTGCTGTGGGTAAAAGTCCTTTGCAGCGGCTCCCCTTGACCTTCGGCGACACACCAGTCCCCTCAGCTGTGCACCAAAAGACAAGAGTCATTTCACTGGAGGCATGTGTTCAGGAGAAAGGGCTAAGTTACTAAGTTATGTATGTATTATAAAGGAAAACAAGGAGAAAGTTCACATTGTCAGTCGAGTTGATAGAGAGCAAAGAGATAAAGAAAACCAAAGAAGTCCGATTTAGCTAAGGTTCCTTGAAGCTGCGTGTATAACATTTTGTTAGCCACAGAAAGTATGAGTAGATAGGACTCCCTCGGCTTTTGAAATAAAAACTAATACTACAAAATCTGTCTATTTATATCTACCAATGGTCTCTCTTCTCCCCTCCCTCTCTTCTTTCCAAACACACTACCTTAGGCTGGTATGCGCCCTATCTCAGGTTTTCTTATTGTTGAAACAGAAAAAAGTGGCACTTGTATTTTCCACCTTCATTAGGCATTCTGGTTCTTGAATGTATCTTTCATGCTTTCTACCACCAGCCTTTAATAAGACTTTTAGTTTTAATTAATTACTTCATTTATTTTTGAATGAGGAGAACTTGTTGATGATGGCTTATTTTGGAATGTGTCTTCCTCAGCGGTTGATTTACTTGTGTCATTGCCAGTTTGGTAATATTTCTTTGTTTTCTCTATTGTGATTCCTTCATGCATAAAATCTTACTATTCTAGGTACAATAGGAAGCATTTGAACATATGCAGCTGTTTGTAGAATAACTTCACAAGACTGATCTAGTTTATAGATGGCCACAAAGGAAAAGATGACAATTAAATTCAAGTTCTCTCCATAGAGGCACTGAATTCACATGATTAAACTTTTCCTATGGCAAATTCCCTTTTAAGGTATTTAGTTTTAAAATTCAGATGACTTAAACAAAGTTTTTTTTAAACCTGAGAAGAAGGAAAACCCACAAAACATCCTTTCAGTTTTCCTATAATTTGAAAATAAATTGAGAAAAATTGAGACTTTGCAAGCCAAGTTTTAGTCAGTCTTATAAACATCAGAATTTTACTGCATTCAGTGGAACAGCTGATACACTCCTGACCGAGTAGTTGCTGTTGAAATAGCACATCTAATCTGCTGCCAGGGAAATTCTGGGGAGGACTTTCCATTACTTGGGGTATTTTTAAAGCTAATGATAGGTGTTATTTTCTTCTTTCTAGACTGCTACAAGTTTCAAAATGTACCTAGGAAACTGGAATATTCAGACAGCTACTTGGCTAAAGCGGTAAGAAAAACAAATGCAACCTCATTACTCATGGCACTGGGGTATGTTTAGATGGGAGTTGTTAGCTGAGCAGCAATAGTCTGCCAGTAGTAATGTCTTTGGACACTTTTGTTTTTGTGTGGACATTTATACCCTGTAAGTGAAAAAGTAGAAATGTAGTGACTTGAGGTCACTATAGAATATAGAATATTGCTTGTAATGTGTCAGACACTTAATGCTGTCATTCCTGTGCACCAGGCACTCGTTTTGATCCTCATATCAATCCTATAAGATGTTGGTAGTTATTATCCTCATTTTGCAGATGAGCAGAGTGAGGTACAGAGAGGCTATGTAATTTGCCCAAGGTCACACAGCTGATGAGTAATTGATAAGAGCCCAAACAGATTATCTGCAGAGCTGGCTCTCAACCTCTGGGCTGCACTACGTCTAACCTAAAGGAGAGTCTGTTGATCAGTTGTCAAAGAGGGTTATTGTCAGCATCTAATCACTAAAGATCGCTGTATTTATCCCTCGCATTGAAAGCTAACCCAGATGTTTATGCTTCTAAACTTTATATTTTTGTTGATATTTCTGTTTCCCTGCACACTCCAAAATTAGAAACATTACTTATTATGGAACTGATACTGTGCTATCTGGGAATAATATGCTATCCTTGAAACTCTAGCTATTGAATATTCCCATCATATACGTGCAGGGAGAGTATAAAAATACTAAGTTTTAGATTCTGTTTTTGATAAGTAGCATTTTTCATAGGTGAAAACTGGGGTAAAGCAAGAGACAAAGTAAGCTCATACAGTGTTGTCTGAAAATTGATCTGAACATGCATTTTTTGAAAATTTTCCCTTAATGTTATTGCTGTTAATTTTGCAAATAATTTTAGCATAAACCCCTCTTGGTGTATATTGAGTAATCCCAATGTACCAAGAGTCCTACAGTCTCTATTTGCAGTTTGTTCTAAGATGACTGAGTATACATGTCTGCACATAAAAAATGAAAAAAAAATGATTCTGGAAAATGAAATATTTGATTTATTAAGAAAAGATACAGAGGGTAAGAAACAAGTGCATATTCAAACTATTTCTCATTTTAAAAGAATCATTACAAGTGGGGTCACAATCCTTTGTTTTTGCCCCCCAAACACATTCTCTTACTATGTGGAGGGAGCCATGCTCCTTAAGTTTGGGTTTAAATCAGTTACTTTTGACAACCCATGCAGTGCAGGATTGCTGTTAACTGTATTTCTAGTTTATTTCTATTTGGGTCCTCTCATTTATAGTAAACCACATAGTGGCTTTCTTACAGTGCCATTGCCAATCCTTAGACTGCATTTGGGAGAAAGTCCCTTATCACTTTGTTTTAATAATCAACAGAGAAGCCAGAGCTCTCCAGGGTATTTTGCTGACAATTTCTAGAGCTGCACAATATCACTCTTTAAGGCAAATTCATGGGTTGAAATCCGATGGGCACAGTGAGAACCGAAAGGTCATAGAGCTGACACATTGATTTTGTGCTGCAGTTATTGCCAAAAGTGATGAAAAGGGTTCCAGAGTTGATTAGTTAGATGGCACAGGGGCTCCGCTGAAAATGTAAATTAATTCTGACTAAATGAGAATGTCCATTTCTAAAGACCCTTACCCTGATTCCAAATTTTTGGTGCCAATGACCTTATTTACCCAGAATTATTCTTAGTAGCTTAGGCCATTCATTGGCAGCAGGAGCTGGGTACAGTCTGAGCACTTGGATATTTATTAGATACAGGATGACAGGGTCCAGGCCGTTCAGTTCTATGGACATTAAAAATTCATACTTCGCAAAAATACTGAACGTGAACTGCATATCTGGTGGCGGTCAAGAAAACTTGAGTTCAGGCTGCTCGGGTTGCATTGTGAGACCCCGAACAGGGGGAGGCAAGCTGTCAGGAATGCAGCACGTGATTTCTGTGGGTCTGATTAAAAAAGATGGCAGTGTAGCTGGAAGTTTCTGGTATGTTTGCCCCGTGGCTCATCGTACCTGCCTCTCCTCACAGAGTGTGCTACGAGCGAGCCCCCTGGTACCCCACAGTGTTTACCTTCATCCTGTCTGCCCTGTGGCACGGTGTCTACCCTGGGTACTATTTCACCTTCTTAACTGGAATCCTTGTCACAGTAGCAGCCAGAACGGTAAGCTTGCTTTGTCATGGGATCTTTTCCTTGGTAATCTGGTGCCTGTATGTTTGCTGTCATTTAGTCCTATTAGGAGTCTGGGAATGAAGGGTAGGAGTGATATGTTGAAGAATTAAACAACAGAAGTCTTCCCACTAGAGAAACACTTCAGTGTATAGGAACTTCTGGTTGTAAAATGGTTAACCATTTTATTTTCATAATATTTACAGAGGGTGTTTGCGAAATGAAAGGAATTTTAGGAGCAATGTTTAGTAACTTAAAAGATGGAAACATTTTTAATCATTAAAGGCTGTGAATACATGCAGTCTATTCACAGGTGACAATGATTGGTAATTAATGTAGGCTTTGTAAGACTTTATTTTACTTATAACTCACTTCATTTCTTATTTCATTATCCTAAGCCTAGAAATAATTCAGGCTCTGTGAGCAGCCAGTAAAATTGCAGCCACAGGAACTGTGTTCTGTTAGAGATGGCTCTAACGTCTCTCTGATTCAGTTGAATTAGTTTGTATAAAATCCTTTGTGAATTTTATAAATCTGGTATTCTAGGTTTTTTGGGCAGTTTGTTCTAGACTGTTTCTATTATTTGCTGGCTGTAGAGCAGGATAATAAAGGAATAAAAAACATGCCTTCACTCAAAGAATGAGATGAATATATATACAAGTAATTACAATTCAGTGTGCTTTAATTGTTTAATCAGAGTTTTGTATTTGATTTTATTCAGTTTTTGATCATGATTGTGGCGTTTCTTATTCAGATGTCAACAGCTTTTAATGACATTTGTTGAACTGTATTTTTGATGTGAATTTCGGAGCCCCAGCATAGCTATCCACTTATTTATCTGTTCTATGAGTATGCCATGAGTCCTCTTGAGTGCAGTCTGTGTGCTAGGGGCTAGGCTACTGTAGGAAACAAGACAAAAGACCCCCCATGGAATTTTTAGTTTAGTTAGATGATGGTTTGTTTGGATGTCTGTGTAAATAAGGTGGATAATTGATTACTATTCATGCTGATTAGCATACTTTAAAAATATGTACATATTTATGCAGAGGAAACAGAGAAGACATTTTCTTTTCTCCAATTTATGTATCTACTTGAATTATAAAAGAAAACTGAGAAAACAGAGGCCAGGACAAACTAAGAAACAAAGGCTAGAGTTTTGTTTGTTATCAGTAAGGTAGTGAGAGTATTATTTCTTAAAGTGTCTTTGGTGCAGTTCATCTCAAATAACATAAAAACATTGATTTATGTAAACCCTTTCTTTTGGGTGGCTTGGAAACATTTTTCACAAATTAGTGAGGTAGGGATGAAGAGGGGAGGGTTGATAGAACAGTATTCGCATTTTTTTTTTTTTTTCCTGAACAGAGAATGAAATCAAGCAGTCATGAAGTCTTAGACCTGAACAAGTTACCTAATATAATCTCTGACATGCTTTCCCATCACCCCTACCATGGATGGAACTCTAGCTTCTGTCCCAGGGAGCTCAGGGATGAGGCGAGGAGTCAGCTCACCAGGCAGCCGTAGGAGGCCTTTCCTGCTTCGAGGCTGACCTAGCTACCAGACAGCCTTTGTTTCAGTTCTACCTTTGCTTCTTGGATCTGGAAATTAGGTGTCTTTCTGGAGGCAAATCTAGTCACATGTGTCAAAAGACCTAAAATGAGTATATCCTTTGACCCAGCATTTTCCATTTCAAAGAGTTTCTCGGTTTCCTTGTCTGTAGAATGGGCATAATGATGCTTACATGATAGGCTTGTTGGGAGAATCAGCCGAGATGATATAGGTAACGCATTAGCTCAGGCTTGACATACAGTGAGCACTCAATAAATGGTAGCTGCTGTCATTATTAGTAATGGTAATATTACTTTATTACTGTTATTCAAAGAAAATAAGTAGGAAACAGTGCAGAGATTTATTTACCAGGGTAGCATCACAGAATTGTTTAGTATAGTGGGGTGGGGTTGGGGGTGGGGACATAGGCTAACTCTTCCGTAAATAACTTAAAATTGCATTAGGGGTTAATACTTAGTGATGTGGGGGGGAAAAAACCTCATGACATATTAAATGAAAAAGCAGGCTAAAAAACATACTGATGCCATTGAAAATATATATGTTAGTATATAGAATAAAGTAAAGCTTAAAGGATATGTGCCAAATTTTTAAACAGTACTTTTCTCTGGGAGATGTTAAAAAAGAAAAAAAAATGTTTTTGCTTAGTTCTTTATATAATTTTCTACAGGGAGCATGCATTTTTTTCACAATAAGAAAAACCTTGACGGTAATATTTTCAGTTAAAAATAGAAATGAGATGGTTTCAATCCTTTATGTTCCTAAAGTGTATCTGCTTGCACAGAGTAAAAGTTGTGTTTTATTTTTTATCCTTCCCTTTGCCTTCCTTGGCTTGCAGGTGAGGAACAACTATAGACATTACTTCATTTCTTCAAGAGCCGTCAAGGTCCTTTATGACGTGGCCACGTGGGCTGCCACTCAGCTGGCCGTCTCATACACAGTGGCACCCTTTGTTATGCTGGCAGTTGAACCAACCATTAGTTTGTACAAGTAAGTGCCATCATTCTCAGCGGCTGTTCAGTAAACTTGTCTGTGTTCTCTGGGTTTGACTTAAGACTTGGTGAAATGAATCAACCAGTATTATTTCTAAATATGGCTTCAATGTAAAAATGTCCATAGAAAGATTTAGGTCCTGGAAATACCAACACACATACCAATGCAGATGAGCAGGGCTGAAGGGGCAAGCCTTTCAGCCGTCTGTAACGTAATTAAGAGACGCTTAATGGCAGTAAATTTTGAAGGGGCCAGACTGAATGACAAACTCAGAGGGTGAATTTGGTGCCTTCGCCTCTTCCGGGGGTTAGGCTGTGGGGGAGACTGGGCCATTCTGAGATAAGGACTGAAGTGGGTAGGTGCAGGGGGCGCTGCCCACTGCTGGGAACGGCTGACTCGGGGCGTCTGCAGGAGAGCTCTGTGTCCTACCGAGATGGCAGTTCTGGTGGATGCATCTGGGGATTTATGTGGCCAGTTCCATGAGGTGGAGGAGGAGGTTCCCACAAGAGCCAAGAGGTCTTTAGGGGAAGGGTTTAGGTCCTCGTGGTCAACACCAGTGCCCCAGCTGAACTGCAAACCTATTCTTGCTTACTCTTGTTGTTTTACTCTTAATGTTGAATTAGTCACATTTCTCCACTCTTCAAACTAGTTGTGTGACCTCTGGCAAGTTACTGACCTCTCTCACCTTTTATTTTTTCAACTGTAAAATGAGGCTAAGAATAGAATCCATCTCAAAGCACGTTTGTTAGGACTGAATGAGGCAGGTGTGGAAGGGGCTCAGCCCAGTGCCTGGCACATAGTCTGTTTTCAATAAAGGCTAACTTGTATTAGCCTTTATTGCATATTACATAATACATAATGCACATTACATAGTACAATTTTGTAGATAAACTTTGGAGCTTAGCTATGGTCAGAAAAGTAACAGAAATAAACAATGCAAACATGCCTTATTTATAGATTGGGGATTTCCTGTAGTTGAGTCATTGGTCAGGAACAGTCACAGACACTTTACGGCTCAAAATAGGTGTCACAGGATGATTTTTTTCAGGTTATAGGAAAAGAAGATAGAGGGAACTATATAACACTCATCAATAAAATTTGTTTCTATAATACTTACTAGGTCATAGGAGTTATGTCAGTATAAAATGGAAGCTGAGTTGGTTTTTACTAATATACAACTTTTTCTAGATAAGAGATGTCAATATAGGAAAAGAATGATAATCTCTAGCAACAACAACAAAAAAAAGAATACCCCCATCATTTCAGCCACGACAGAGGTAGGAGGCACTCAGTTTTGTTTAAGAAAACTGAAATTGAGTGCCCCTTCCCTGGGCTCCCTTTCACAGAGGCAACCCCCACCTCCCCCCTTCCTGGCCCTCAGCTGGTTTCACCTCCGGTGCCACCTGGGGCAGCCCACTTGCTCACAGCCCCATTTCCTTTCCCCTTGCTTCAGTGTCTCCAGCTGCATTTGCCATTCATTATCTTCTGCATTTTACCACCCTCTGAGCAGCCTTCAGCTCCACGGAGCCCTCTGCCTGGGCTGTGGAGTTTGTTGGCTTAGGTGCTGTTCTGGTGGGTCTGGTTACAAAGTCTCAGGTTTTTGAATTGTCTGCTTCTCACATGCTTTTCCCCCCATAAGCCCAGGTTTTTAAAGCACAGGATATTGCTGAATGTGAGATTTTTCAGGAATTTATGTATCACGTTATAGCAGAAATGCCTGTATTTGACTCAGTAGCATTAATACCAACAGTGTGCTGGGCACTGTTGTAGAGGCTGGGGATAAAAGGTAAACAAAATATAGAAATCATTCCTGCTGTCATGGAGACGATGGCTTGTTGGAAGAGATAAATAGTAATTGACAAATTTATAAATATACACTGAGGTCCTACTCTGAGTGAATGGTACAAAGATTTAAGAGGGCAAGTAACAAGAATCTGACTCAGACTGGGCATCAAGGGTGGCTTTTAGGAGGAAGCAGCATTTCAGCTAAGGCCTGAAGGCTGCACAGTAGGAGTGTAACAGGCACAGCACATATGAGGGCGGTGGATGAGGCAGAGCACTGTGGGCCATGCTCTAAACATAGGGAACAGCAGAGAAAAGCCCCCTTGTGACAGGAGAAGGCACTGCGTGCTGAAGACTCGAGAAACACTAGGGTGTGCAGAACACAGGACCCAAGGTAGAAAGTGGTAAGCTGAGCCAAGAGGTGTGGTTGTGTCCTTGTTTATTACATGAGGAAGTGGAGGCTCAGAGAAGGTAACTTACCAAAACCCACGCAGAGTTTATTACATGAGGAAGTGGAGGCTCAGAGAAGGTAATTTAGCAAAACCCACGCAGCAAGTTAAGTGCTAGACCAGAGGTCCTTTAACAGCAAGATCAATAGTACAATTAATCTTTTTCGGAGAAGTGACTGCTTAGGGATCACACTAAGTGGTGATTGACTTGGGATGGCATGCATTTAACCAACTAAAGTTTGCCAGTTCTTACACTTAGGCAGGGCTCTAGGGTAAGAATTGAGTAGTTTTCAATCCAAATGACTCTTAAGTAGATTTCCATTTCTTTGAAAAACCAGTGTAGACTATTAGGGCAAAATCTCCATTGTTTGGGGTGAAATTTACATTTCTGTTAATTTTGTCAATTTCAGGTGATTCAACCAAATGTGTTATCTTATTATCACAGTAGCTTACACAGTCAGACCTCATTTTATTGTGCTTCTCAGATATTACATATTTTATAAATTGAAGGTAAGACCCTCTATCAGCAAAGAGTTTATGACTTGCTATAAAGGCTGAGATGATTGTTAAAGTATATTTAAATTAAGGTACATACATTGTTTTTTAGACATAATTTTGTTGCATACTTAATATACTACAGTATAGTGTTAGTATAACTTTTAAATGCAGTGGGAAATTTAAAAAAATGTGTGACTTTACTGAAATATTCACTTATTGCGGTGGTACAAGTTGAACCTGCAATGTCTCCAAGGTATGTCTGTATATATAGTTTAAATTCCTTATTGAGACAGTTCTGTTTAATAGAAGTTTTTACAATGGCAGAAACACGGTCTAATACATTAACCACCAGCACGTGGCCAGTGAGCATTTGAAACCTGCCTAGTGTGACTAAGGAACTGAAATGTTAATTTCATCTAATTTTAATTAATTTGAATTTAAACAGCCACATAATGCCAACAGCTATGGTAGATTGTATCTCCAAAAAGTGTTTTCAGAATCTCTTAAGAAAGTCACTGTATCTGGTAAAAGAAATTAAAACTGCATGGTCTTAGTAGAGGTGGGTCTGGTTGCATTCCAGATCTTTTCCTTCCTTGGGCTAATTTCAGTAACCAGCAATAAACCACAGTTTTATGCATATCCATTTCTTAGTATGTCTTTCACTGCTTAACATTTAAATTTCAGATGTGTTTCACTTTTATGTCTGGTCAGTTTTCAATCTATAGTGATTTCAAAACCTCAGCTTTAAATTGCTCAGACTAACTATTTTCTTCAACTTGTAAATGAGCCCCAAGTGAACACTTAAATGTACAATAGTCACCCTTTATCTACAAGGACTACATTCCAAGACCCCAAGTGGATGCCTGAAACCGTGGATAGCACCAAGCCCTGTATGTGCTATTTTATCCTATATATACATATCTCTTCACTTAAAGAAAGCACTTTACACCTTTCCTTAGGCATATATGAATTATCAGAATCACTCCTCTTGTGCTTGGGGGCCATTATTAAGTATAATAAGGGTGACTTGAACACAAGCACTACGATACATGACAGTCGATCTGGGAACTGAGAGGCCTACTAACATGTGGGGAGTGTCTGTAGTGTGGAGACTCTGGACAAAGACATGCATCACGTCCCAGGCAGGATGGAGTGGGATGGCACGAGATTTCATCACGCTGCTCAGAACAGTGTGCAATTTAAAACTTATAAATTATTTATTTCTGAAATTTTCCATTTAATGTTTCCAGACGGTTGTAGGCCTCAGGTAACTGCAGCTCTAGTTAGGGAGAGAGGGACTACAGTATTATGAAAGAACCTGACTTAGTCAGCTAGGCTGCTGTGGCTAAATACTATAGACGGGATGACCTAAACCACAGACGTTGATTTCCCACACTTGGTAAGAGCTCTTTCTGGCTTGCGGAAGGCTGCTGTCTCACTCTGTCCTTACAGGGCAAAGGGAGAGAGAGAACAAGAGATGGGGAGGGCATCTCGGAGAGACACAGGAAAAGGAGGAGGAGGAAAAGATGGAGAGAGAAATGGAGGAGAGTGGGAGAGAGAAGAGAGGGGAGAAACAAGAAAGAACAGAGACAGTGAAGAGACTAATACCAAGGTAGATGGAGTCAAAGAGACAGAGAGAGGAGAAGACAGAGCTTATGAGAACTTTGGTTTCTTTCTCTTCATATAAGGGCACTAACCCTGTCATGAGGGCCCTATTCTAATGGCCTCATTTAAACCAAATTACCTCCCAAAGGCCACTCCTCCAAATATTGTACCATCTCATTGGGAGGTAGAGCTTCAAAATGAATTTTGAAGGAAAACAAACATTCAGTCCTTAGCAGAACCATTATATGAAACAGTTGTGTAAAGCAAATTTTCATATAACTAGATAACACTTTTTAAAATTCAGTGTGTAAGAATGTTAGAATTTTTGTAGAAATTTTTGTAGATTGCGAACTCTTTGAGTATAGGAATAATGCCTTATTCATCTATGTATCTGGAGTACTTAGTTGTTACTAGCATGCCCAATAAATGTTACTTGTGTTTTTCCATACTAAAAATATGAAGCACTCTTTAAAATTTTAAAGAAATAGAGAATGTCAGAATAGGTTACTAAACTTCACTAGGGGACTGAAATTATTTCCTCTTTATTACCGAAATATTTGGCTTTAATCTAACCTAATTGCTCCAGTGTACATTTCGCCACATATGAATAATTAAGATAAAATGCAAGAATGAAGTGTATTTTAGGAGAGCAGACTTTAAAAT